GCCCCTACCTCTGGGCCGGGAGCAGCAGGACTCAGTACCTTGGTCTGGTGGTCTGGTGTCCTCTGCATCTTTGTAGTGTGGAACCAGGTGACTGCCTGTCTGCAGCCAGGTGATTAGGCGTCTTCCGCACGACTCGGGACCTTGGTAGGGCATGCACAGACCTGCCTGTCTGCAGTGGGCTGCTTTGCCGTGTCTCTAATTTTCTTTTTAGATAGAGAAAGGTGATTGTAAGATCAGGGAAATGTAGACATGATATATATGGATTCTATAGAGTGTTTTATAAAATTCCGTGTGATCTTTGTAAAACGGTAGATTTATAACCAGTCAAAATACCATTATGGATCTCAGAGATCTCTGATAGCAGATCATAAGCACTTTGTCTTTGGTTTTGACCTAGTAAACCTTGATTCGAGTGCTCAGATCCCTAGGTTGATGGCATGCATCTTTGGTCTAACAATAACCAGAAGCTTAACAGGTAAGTGAATGGTGACATTGAAACAATGAGTGAAATTAAAGTAGGTATAATTTAATAGAAACAAATGGTAAACTTTGCATTAATGGTAGAAAAACAACTCCATCTACTCAAGGTACATTTGACAAGACTTAACAGTAGCACATGTAGAAAAAAATACAGTTTTAATTAATTGTGAATGCATAGTAGTTAACAGTGGACCATGGCCGTTCCCAAATCTAATTCTACTCTTAAGCTGCATTGATAGGAATCATGTATTTAGATTGATGAACGTGATAGTTACTCCCTTCTAGGTACTTGCTAGATTTCTGTTGGAGCATTATGTTTTATGCAGATAATTATATTATATGACAGTATTTGTGGTCTGAAAAAAATTACCCAGCATGGCAGACACATTTGACATCATGTCATATGCAGAACAGTAGTTCTAAACTAAACAACAACAAAAAAGCAAACACAAATTCTAAGGACAAAAGTACATGACACTATCATTGTGTGTGCTGAGATACAGAAAACAGACATTAGGTTTATTTTACTGTAGGAAAGTTTTGCTCATCTCAAATAAGTTGGAAGAATTGCAAGGAAGTTGATTAATTTCAGTATAAAACTTTGTAACAATTGGAGCTATCCTTTTCTGGGCTACTTCCGGAGAAATTAAATTACCTCGGAATTGCCAGAGTTCTTTAGATAGTCTTATTCCTCCATTTTTGGAATGTTATACATGAGGAGGAGTTAGGGAGGTACATTATGACCCTGAAGGAAAAATCTCTCCTAGCTTTGAAATGTCATGATTCCTTGTTTGATGGAATATGGATAAATTACATAGACAATGAAGGGACATGAATTTAGGAAGAGCTTATTGTTTTGAGGGAAGCATCAGAGATGGCATTTCCAAGGATATGAATTTTAAACTAGTTTGTAGGAAATGGCTGGTCAAAATTGGTGGAACAGCAAAATATTTTTTTTATTAAAACTGATAGATGTTCTTATGTGAAGAGAGAAATCTGATAGTGAAGAATGCCCTCGGAGATGGAGATTTCATTGGCAAGTTTTATTTAAATACTACCCCCCCCACACACACATACTTACTTTTCGCTTTTTAAACTCAAGCTGTTATTTGACATTGATAACTTTTTATTTGGTAACATTTCTGGAGTTTTATTTCCTAAGAGGAAATTTCTCAAGGAAAAAAAAGGAATAACAGAATTTTGTCTTCCCAAGAAAAAGAAGCCTAACATATCTTATTGCTAACATAGGAAAACACATAGAGACAGATTTCATAGAAGTGTGTATGTGTGTCATTTATTTCTTTTGTTTCATTTACTGACACTTCACATTTCAGAGTTTAGGACTCCTTGAAGTAATAACATCCTTTGATGGTTGGTTGAGGCATACAAGATGTGTTTTCAGTTTTTGTAAGGTTATCCTGTATAGCAAGCAACCTCAAGATGCCAGTGGTTTTATCACAGCAAGCATTTATTTTCTCTCACACAAAAGCTGCATCTTAGCTGCTGTGACTCTTCTGCATAACTAGGTTGACTTCAGGTCTCATCCGCGGCGTACTGTTTTCATGGTAAGGGAGCAAGAGGCTAAGAAAAATTGTAAAGTTACTTTCAAAGGTTTCATTGAAAAGTGCCACATATTTTACCTATGTTTCATTGGCCAAAGTCAGCTACATGATCAAGCTCACAAATGTGGGATTGAAAAGAATATGTATGGGAAAGAAGTGTGTGCGCATGCACATTTATATATAAGAAAATGAGATTTGTAAACAGAATATGCTGTAAGAGAGTCACTTTGGAGTACTTAGATGGGAGAGTGACATGATGGAAACTAAGGACAGTGTTTGCAGCAGTAGTCAGTATCCATTAAGCCTTGGGAGTTGAAAGTGGAGGGTAACTTGTTTCTTCCTGACTCTGTAACTGTCAGAATCCTAGTGGCAAAATTTCAGTGTAGTTAATCGCATGGTGTCTGCCTTGGCACTGGATGTGGTATTACAGTAGTTGTTCAACTCCTAGATATCTTTCATTTTATTTGCTTTTTTGTAGCCAAACCAAACAGTTTAGTCCTGAAGGATTTGCTGATCAATACTGTGCAAGAATACTCTGCAGTAAAAAGAAACAAAATATTAAAACGAATAGCAACATGAATCATTTGATATGTGAGAGCAGTCAAACACAGAAGCCTACAGTCTATGTAAAACCTTTTATATGACATTCTAGAAAAGGTAAACTCCAGTGACCGGAAGCAAATCAAAAGATGCCTGGGGCCAGAGGTCAGGGGGAGTAATTCATGAAATGGAATGAGTAAGCTTTCTAGAGTGATGGGAATGGTGATATCTGACTGTATTAGCATACACATCAAACTGTATATGTAAAAGAAGTGTATTTTATTGAATGTAAATTTAACTTCAATAAAACTGGAAGAAATAAAAGTATGCTAGTCAAGTAAGTGAAGGTCAGCTTTCCTTTTTGAAGACTAAAAGGAAGAAGGGCAAAAAGATCAATATTATTTTCTACAAATCTTTGAACTTTGTATATGTGGCTCTGTTTTAGAAAGAACTTGAAACAGCCAGAAGGTTTCTTTATTATGAAATGGGCTATAAATCTCGATCAGAACAGTTAACAGATCGCTCTGAAATTAGCCTACTACCTTCAGACATTGACAGGTACAAATAAGTTTCTATCTCTATCCCTTTTTTCTTCTTGTTCCGTGTAAGTGTATTTTACCATTATTCAAATGCTGTATTTTAGGTACAAGAAGAGATTCCATAAGTTTGACGCAGACCAAAAAGGCTTTATTACCATTGTTGATGTTCAGCGTGTATTAGAGGTAATATTTGGTGAGAACCTTAATATAAATCTTGATAACAGAATAATATAAAGATGAAAAGATGGTATTATGTGACCTTTTGTCATCTAGTGTTTTCTAAAAATAATGCTTTTATTTTAATTTTTGAAAGCTTGGTAACAGAAACAAGATATGCATATTTTTTAATCAAACTTCATTTTTCTGTGTATTTTACTTAGAGTATCAATGTGCAAATGGATGAAAATACATTACATGAAATTCTGAATGAAGTAGATTTGAACAAAAACGGGCAGGTTGAGCTCAATGAGTTTTTGCAGGTGAGTTGTGGTGAAAGGAAACAGATGTATTTGCTTTTGTCTTTTGGTTGTCATTATCCTAAATGGATCTCCAACAGTGAATTCTGAAGTCCACCCACCCATTTGTCACTTCGTTCTGAAAAACAAGAAGCTTGAAGCCAGCAGTAGTTGATTTGTCTGCCATCAGGGATAAGGCTCTACTTTGTGCATATTCCTTTTCTTTCTTTTTAATAAGAAACATTGTGTTACATTTGGCAATTTAAATGAAATCCAAGTTAATTATGACTTAAAAGGTTGAATAAAAAACATGCTTTATAAAGATATATCATGGAATATCACTGCTAGACCATTCATTCTTCACTTACATCAAGAGAGGCAGCACAATATTTCTAGTGTGGAAAGTTAATTTTTTATGGAAGAAGTTTCAAAAATTGTACTTGTAATCATTTAAGAATCATATTTACTTGAAAATGTAACTTTTGGGTTTCTACATGCTAAAGACCCAGAAAAGCAAAAGGAAGGAAACTTGTACCCTTGGATCAAGACCATGTAATTTAAACATTTCCATTTCCAATTTTCAACTTATTGAAGTTTCAATTATTTAATCTTTGTAACCGTGGAGGGAATAAATTTTGTTACTTTATCTTCAAACTGGATGCTATATATCAGTTCCTTAAAAGCAAGAAATTCACTAAACCCGAACATTATTTGTAGCTGTCCATAGGACTCTGATCATATGAAGAGCGTACTGGTTTCCAGGCAGCCAGGTTATTTTCTGTAGTGCTTCTTGGGCAGTTATTTCAAGTGAATGCCAGGTCTTGCTTGCACCATGGCAATGATGAATGCTGAACATGAAATAAATTAATGCTGGGGATTTTGGTCAATGTCAGCCCTTTCTTCACTGTGTCAAGTTAAACAAACAAGATCAAGGCAAAGGAAATGGTAATTGTCTCTCTGGAGATGAGCTGCTGATAAGAGCATTGTTGAATCTAAATGCAGAAAATTTTCACAGGTTGTGTCCAGCATTGCAAAAAAGAATGTTTAGTTCTTTAGCTTACTGTTTAAATGCACATTTTAAATTGAATATAAAATTTCTGCTTGGGAATTGGAAACCATTTAATTCTTTTTTTGTATGATTTTCTGGAGAATATTTAATTGTCTCAATTTTAAAAAAAACTTGACTTCAAAGAAATGGCTTATGCCTCATTCCATGTGTGCTGTAAATAAACAATAGCATTCAGGATTGAAAAACCTGGGTTTCAGAAACAAGAATCTAATTTTATAGATATGCTATATAGTTTAGTTTTTAAGTAATTACCTTGAATTTAATAGAGCACATAGACAATAATTTAAGCCACCTGCAGGTTTTCTTGTAGAGTTTTAAAATAATTGAGTATTTCTTGTCCAATTCTAAATGAAAGAGCCTATTCATGCTTCTAGTAAGTACAAATATAGTGTACTTTTCAATGTAAAAAATGCAGACTGTATTTCTCATGCAATATATTCACATCCAAATACACCATTTTTCTCTTATGATTTTTAGGTACACGTAATGTTTAAAGAAAACTTGTGAGTTTTTTATGGTTTATGCGTGTTATACTATTTATGGCTAAAAGAAAACTCTAGCTCCATCAGTTTTGTTGGCTCTAATAAACTTTGAAGGTCTTCCTGGAATGAGAAAAAAACAATAAAAAATAAATTTTTCTGTCTTTAGATGTCAGAATTCTTTATATTACACCATTTCTCAGATGTAAAGTATATTTCAGGTTCTAACAAAACATTTTTATTTTCTGAAGATTAACAGCCCATGTTTATTCTGCTAAACATCTATTTGTGAATATTGATTTTTAAAAATCATTTTCATGGAAGGATCACTACAAATATTGCCAGGTTACATGACTTTATTTCCAGATTTGGGCTTTAATGACACTTCTGCATGTAGGAGTCCATCTCTAATAAGCAATCACTTGTGAAACAGCTTTTAATAAGGTCACGAAATTCTGATCCAGCCCCTTGGCAGATGCCTCTGACTCCTTTTTAGAGCTGTTTTAAAGAAATGCATCCCTACAGGCTAAAAGCTGTAACCCTGAAAATACTTTAATAATTTTCATATGTATTTTTTTCTATTGAATAGCTCTGATCTTCTTAAATAAATGAAAAAGATTGGAGAAACGAAATCAAGAACAGCAAATAGTTAAACCACATCAACTTGAAATGGAAAAAAAAATCCTTATGTTCATAATTGCAAGGTGCTTTCCAGATTAAAGGCCTTTGCCTGCTGACTGCATGTAATTTCAAGACTAATTCTGATTTTATCCATTGGATAAAAATGAATTAGCTAAAATCTCAGCTGTAGAGTGCTTTTAATTCTTAGGGTAGATCTCTGGGTCCATATTCAAGAACTTAAATGTAAATTATTTTAAAAAGTCTTTAAGGAATTTGGATTTAGGGGACTCAAATTTGTCAAGTACTGTAACACTGAAAAAAGGATAGCTAAATATAGGTCATGGTTTGTCTTTGTTCAATCCTTGAGATTCCTTTTTAAGATTTTTAAATGGAATTAAAGATCCAGTATTTGAAGTTGCTTAAAAACATTGTGCCCTGTCTGAGCACATTAAGGAGCAAAAAGTGATACATTATATTTGCTTTCTTCAGAGGCAGACTGATTTGACAGGTAGACATTGTTTTTGCAGTAGTGGTGAAATACGTGCCTCTTCCCCTCTCCCTCTTTTTAAAATGTTCAAAACTGGTGCATTTTTTATTTGAGGTGCATTATTTTCTTTGGGTTTTAATGGAGCACTTAATTACATCTGCCTGCTTCAATGGTATCCATACAGTGCTGGGAGGAAGGGAATACGGTGGCCTGCCTTCTGAATCTGTTGCGTATTTTCTTTTCAAGCTGATGAGTGCTATTCAGAAAGGAAGGGTATCTGGAAGCCGGCTTGCTATTCTAATGAAAACTGCAGAAGAGAACCTCGACCGAAGAGTTCCGATTCCTGTGGACCGTAGTTGTGGAGGATTGTGAGTCTGACCATCTACTGCCAACAAAATTAGGAGCAACAAATCACCATGTAACAACCAGAGAGGACTTAAACCACTCTAAAATAGTGGCTATGGTAGCTGCCTTTTTTTTTTTTTTAAACACTGGAAAACATTCCAAAACATTAGGATGTTGGTATATTTACCAGCCTAACTGAATGAAACTTTATTTGTATGTACCATTCAATCTGGCTTTTAAAAAGCGTACTTTCTCATTTTCAGTGCACATTGATTTCATGTTTTACATCCATTTTGTGACCTGTTAGACTTGATGCTCTCCCCTTTTGATTTTTCATGTATTCTAAATCAGTTCTAGAAGCAGAATGTTTTGGCAGAAATTGAAGAAAATAGCTGGAAAAATTTTGTGACATACATAAAACTCTGAACATTGAGTTTGTGGATACCATTTATTCTTAAAAAGAGTGACCTATTGAAATGATACCCCCTTTCTTCTTCCAGCTTGTCTGTCTTCCTTTTCCACAGTTGCAGGATTTTATATCTTGAGTGTGACTGGCAAAACTGGAGAGGAAAGAAAAAGTTTAGATCTGGTTTAGATCTGGTTACAAGTCTCAAAGTGAAACTCTGAAAGCTTACAGAATCACAGGTAGACAATAAGGATAGCACTGGCATTTGCTAGGAGTTACAGTGATAGTTTCATCTCAGCAGTTCATTTTTTTCCCTAGTCACTGCTAGTTTTCTTTGGCTGTTATAGTTGCCAGGAAGATCCTAGATTTTCTTACTTTAAAACAAGCATTTTAAGTGGCAAGTTGGATGCAATAGGACAAGACTATATCTTCCCAGTTTTTACAGTGTGATACATTTAAGGGTTAAGAACATGCGTTTATTAAATTCACATATAATGCAATTTTCCACCCCCCAATCTTAAATTTTGGAGCAGGTGATATTGTCAAACTTGATCTTTTTAGAGAATTATTTATCAATATAAATGAGAATAGAATAGACACTGATTTTCATTATATGTAAAATAAGGTACCACCTTTCAATATCAGAGGGTAGTCATGCTGCTTAAAGTCTTTCTCCTTCTGTACTCTGTGGAAAAATTCTCAGTTGTACAAAAATAAACAAAATAAAACAAAAACCACCCCAACACACACAGACCAAAACCAAAAATCAGTGTGCATTGAATTTAACAAATAACGAGGTGAATTAAAAATTCCAGTTTGGAAAGCTTTTGCTGTATTTTGTTGGCATTTTAACTAGTCTTCTTAATATTTACTAATTGTGCTTCCTATTTTGAAGCTAACTATAACTGTCCTTTTTTTTTAAAGATTAGGTTCTATAGGTCATAGAAAATAAAAGGAAATAAAACCACTTTATCTTATGGTAGGTTTTCATTGCACATTGAGGTCTTATTTTTTAAACGGGGACATAAAACACTTTTGTGCTATAATTTCTATTTATGTCAACATTGTAGAATATCTGTATGCTTCACTCAGGTGGGAGATGAGCCTGCATGTTGTAATATGAGGTAGGAGGTTCACCAAACCAAGGCCCCACCCACGACCTCTGAAGTTTAGATACCACTTCCTAAAGGAAAACCTAAAAGAGTGAGTGATGCTCTCAGGTGTCACTGTGAATTTTTTTTTCTTTCAAAGTGTGAATTTTTTTACTTTAGCTTTTTTTTTTTTTAAATAAATGGAAGCATGTGACTTTGCAACCTAGTGTTTTTCTACCAAGACAATAGATTTCACTGTTTAGAGCCCAGTGATACTAAATAGAAGAGCTGTCCTTTAAAACATCTAGATCATGTACCACAATACTGTACTCTCTCTCTCTTTTTTTCTAGTTAGATCAAGATAACGATGACTTATGTCCCCTCTGATTCTGTTACAGTAGGGACTGGGGTCACAATGTGACTGGCTTGGGCAAATCTGTGTTTTAAAACAGGCCTTGATTGTGCACGTTTTGCTACGAATGAAGTTCCTTTAAGGACAAAGAAAAGTGCACTTGCCTTCATTTTAGAGTGTCTGATTTTGCTTAAAACCTGCAAATTGTAAAATATATGCTCCTTCACCAATCCCAGAGGCTCAGGAAATGAACTGGTTTCAAGCTCTTTCTGTGAATAAAGTACCAAGCATCATTGTGTAAGTTCTTACACCTGGAAAGCTTCATCTGATTTAAGCAAAAGGGAAAGAAATGAGAGAATAAGCTCCTTCAAAACCCATTCCAAGCACAAAACAATGTGTTTTTTTTTTCCTTTTGTATAAACACGATATGAGTTGATTCTGATGGGGTGGGTGTGCAGGGGTTGCCTTTTATCACCAAGTGATTTATTTCAAGGGCCTTTGGGGGGATTCAGTTGAAGGAACCCTCATCTGTGCTAGAGAGTTGGCCACTCCTTTAAATAGCTCGCACCTCAATCATAACAGTAGTGGTAATGCTGTATTATTTATCAAGTGAAGATTGTTTTCCTTGTATCCATTGTGCTTAAATGTTCTTGCTTTCAATCAATTTATACTGAATCCAACTTTAGGATTTCTACTATTAAATGCACACTTTCTATTCTGCATTAGTTTCTGGCTTTGTTTTGTCTGTTCAAAATGTGTAGTTTCCTCTTTTGTACCACAAAAATTTCAGTCTGACTTCCACTAAATATACTGTAAGGATCATCCTTGATTTTATTTTCCTCTTTGTATGCAATTTGTAAAGAGTTTTTGCCATATGACTATAATACTGAAGTCAGTGATTCTAACTTGCACTGTTTTGCATTATGTTAACCTTTTTAAGGGAATTAAAAATGCCCTACTATGTTTTCCAAGAATATCAAACATAAGCAAGCCAAGTACTGGAGTGGATATATACACTGCATGTTTTTATGTGTGGCACTTTTATGTATTGTGTTGGGTTATTGTTCTAGATTGGACTGTTAAATGCTATGTTTGAGGCTGGGTTGTCATTTTTATAACTGTCTTGGTGTTTTATCACCATTATTTATTACTTTTGATATACAGAATGAGCTGCATGCATTTATAGAGCAATAAGAAGATATATTTAATGTGCCTTGTTTTTAACTGAATAAGAACTGAAAGCATGAATCAATAAAACTGATTGAAATGGTCCATTTGCTGGCATTTTGATGTTATGTGCAGTCAGACAAATAACTTTGATTACTGTTGAAGTTCTTTAAAAAGTTTGAAAATATCTCCAGAAACTGTATTTTTAATGACACATGTTCTATTAGCTTGGAATTTTGTGACTTTACCTCAAAAGTGAAATATCTACATAGATAGATGTAATTTCATGAGACTATGAGAATTATTTGCATTAATTTGTTACTGCAGCCTTTAGAGCATGACTTCTGTATTTGTGCAATCCTATTCTAAAATTACATTCATCCTATTACGACTCAGTTGAATTCTTTTTTACCTCGGCCCTCCCCCCTTTTTTTCAACCAGAGCCTTTCAGCTGACGCATTCCCAGGCACACTGATGAATTTTATCATAACTAAAATCAATAGAAATGAATGGGAAAGATTACATAATCCATTTTGATCATCTTACATGTCAAGTTAGTGCTGGGTTGCCAAGTGTTGATAAATGCTCTGACAGAAAAAAAATGCTGTATATTTTCATTGTCAGTAAATCAGTAAAGCTGTTATCAGTTTTAATATTGGGCAAATTTTATAATACTCATGTTATTTTACAGGTTTTAATTTACACTTGTGCATGGAGTATTTTCTATATTTGTGGGGTAGCGGTGCTGCCTCCTGGTTCTGTGTTCTCAAAGGAGTTTCATGAGCTGCTGAAGATTCTTTGAAATTATATAGAATACCCCAAAGCAATGGCTCCCAGGCTGACTTGGAACAATGAATCATTTATTCAGTGTCTAGACAAAAGTAACAGTTCAAAACATTTTTATTGATCCATCTTATCAAGTTTCTTAGCACTTTAAAATTTGTCAACATAAAATTTGTCAAAATATTGCCCCCGGTTTTCAAAATATGTAAAATTGATGGTCCTAAAAAGGGGGAAATTTGATGCTAGCATCAATATTTTGCAACTTTTGTCATATCACTGGTGTCAGATTTTGCTTGATGGTATTTGACTTATGAAGGAGAGAAGCAACAGAGTTTTAAATTGATCTGGCACCCTAATAATAAGGAAATTTATGTTTAATAGACAAAACCAAGGGGCCGGGGATTTAGTTCAGTGGCGCCGCACCTGCCTCACAAGTGCAAGGTCCTGAGTTCAACCCCCAGTACCGGAAAAAAACCCAAAAAGCAGACAAAACCAGTGATTCTTTTGTGCCTGAGCCTTGTATTTTAGGTCTCTCATTAGGTACCTAACTTGTGAAATACAGACACAGAACATGATGTATATGAACATTGATGGTACCACAATCAGTTCTCCAAGTCCTTTGCTAAGAATTGGATGTGGGTCTTTTAAAAAATCAATAGGTATCTTTATATTTGTTAAATACCTGGTCCAGCATAATAAGAGTCATGTGATCTAAGCAAAATAACTGCTTTAGGGGGATTAACAGTACCATCTTTGTTCTTCACATTTGGCATTGATTTGAATGGCTTAGCATATCCTATAGTAGGTATTCACATTGGAGTTACTTGAATCTGAGGAGGTTAACAATATTATAATGTAGGTAATGTATCATGTTTCATTGGAAGAGATAGGAGGATTACAATGCATAGATCCAGCCTTGAATATTAGAGCATGGCAATTGGTGTGGGTGGTTCCACACCTTCTGAACCTTTCAAGTCCACTGTTTTGTGTCTTAAGAAGATTGCTGCACTCATTTCCAGGTGCAATGACTCCTGTAGAAAAAGGGTCACTTTTCATCTTTATTGGCTACTGCTAGCTTTCTTTCATTGTGTCAAAGATTTTGGACATGATAGGTGGATGGATATATAGGAAGAAATTTAATTTTTTCTTTTGGTTCTGGTACCTGTAGAAAAACAGTTTTGCTTAAGGAGAATCTCAAATTGGCAAGAGATTTTTCACACTTACGAAATTTCTTTGTTTCAACCTTACACTATCAAACTAAATCTAACTTCTGTATTAGTTTTTTTTTTTAAGTTCAATTTAGGGATATATGATTTTGTTTGTTTAAATGATCTAGCTGTAATCATCTCATTCAACACATTACTATTCTTTAACCCGACCTCAATGACCTCTTTTAAGCAAGCTAGCTCCTGCTTCCAAAGGTTTAAACAAATAGTCACTTCTTCTATTTTATTTGTTGCTTTTTAGATTTTCTCACTGTTGCTTCAATATTATATTTTTGTTTTTCATGCCCATCATTAACTGATTTACAATTAATTTTTATGCAGAGTTTTTTCTTATCCAAGTTAAGCTGTAAATCTTAGATCCATTGAAATGACAGTGAGAAATATTTCATTTTATCCCATGAATCATTTGCCATGCTTATTGCAGAAAAATGGCAAAATTATGGTGTACCATGTTTTCATAAATTACTCCCCCCTTCCCCATGCTCCAGTTCATTTCATTATCCGTTTGGAAAGACAGAGTCAGAATCCAGACACTTGTGGTAAACAATTCTGATTTTACAGCAGGCTAATCAAAATTTCATAACATTACAAATTAATTCCTCTGGTACTGTAAAGAATTTAATTCATGTATAAAATATATCATCTGTTTTATAAGTAAAAAGTAGCTTGATATTAAAGTACATCTTCAGATTGCTACTATAGCAGAGAGGAAGAGTGCTGAATTCCTTAAATAATGTATATAATTTTCATTGAGCTTCATATGTCAAAGTAGTCATTTATGTCCTGAAAGGTGTATGCTTTGTACTATGTGTTTGAACACTATTAAAAAATCATGGCTTCTTCCAAAAAGGACAAATTGTAGGTTTGCATTTCACATATGACCTAGAAAGAAGTAACTTATACAGGGACCTCGCCTCATTCCAACCCCTGTAAAGAATACCCTTAAAAATTAAAAATTAAAACAAAATATTTCTAAAATAAAATATATTTAAAAGGAATAAATGACATTATCTACTATGTTTTAATGTTACTACTAAATGGATAGATTTGGCTATTGCCAATATATCTATTTTATTGTCAGACCATTTAAGGAACCATGGGCAGTTATTTAGATAGTTGAAAAAGTCAGGTTTATCCTGATAAATATATTTGTCATAGTGAGCTGCTAAACTGTTTTCAAAATGGGCCATTTTTTAAATGGAGCTTATCCAGCTTGATCCATGCTTTAAGCAGCACTGACCCATTAAATAAAAACCTGGGACAAAATGCCTTTGAAAAGGGTTAATTAGTTTTAATATTGATTTATTCCATATAGGACGCTAATAGACTAGAACATTTATTTCTGTTTTGGATCATTAAAAACTGGCTTTAGTTCTTGAACAATTTGTATCTAATAATTAAAAATGAGACCAATTAGAGCAGTTTTAGTATAACCTAGTATATAGGATGCACTTTTATATGAAAACATAAACCTGACCACCATTTCATAATTCATTGCAGTCCTATCAGAAACACCATCCAAAAAATACTCTGAGGTCATTAAGCTTAAGACAGGACCGTTTCTGCTTTAAAAAGAGGGGTGAAGTATGGAGAGAGTTAATGTATGGCGAGAAAACTCCCTAAAGCTAAATTGGCATATGTGTTTCCTGGGATCATTTTCTCTAACAGTAGGGTTTGGTCCTATCTTCTCCATTACTTAGCTTTCTATATCCATTGACTTTACATTTGGAAAATATGACTGCATTGAAAAAGTTTACCTTGGCAAAGGTGCTTGTCTATCTGCAGGGGATACCTCCCTTACTGTGCTTAGTTTTTGTACTTATGCTGCCCTCTAATGGATACCAAATTATTCCATTAGATCCAGAACAAAAGTAAATTTTCAGTTTCTCAGGGCTCCTGCACCAGCCTATCACTTGCAAATTGTGATCTGACCATTTTCCCTTTGCACACGTTCTGGTGTAGGAGAACATTTGTACTTATTGTGTAGAGTTACCATGGCCAAAGTTGCATTCCTGCTCTGGGCAGTAGAGGAACAGTAATGCTAATTTGTCCTCTGTTGAACTTTCCATTTTTTCCCTACCAGCAGCTGGAAGGAATTGATGTTCTGGGGACTTAAAAATGAGGAATAAAAACAGTGTAAGTGCTGTATTAAGATGATATGCTGTATGTTTTATCAGCCACTGGCACCTAGTTCAAAAGACAAAAAAATTAGCAGCCGTGGTTTGGGAATAGGCCTGTGCATGAAGTGGATATCAAATCCATACATGAAGAATATCAGCACTTTTCACATGCTGCTTTCTGACACCCATTGCTAGAGCTGAAAACTATCTCTATTGTCCAGTTTGATTGCTTGAATCAAACTGATTTACAGCAAATCCATCTGAGCTTTGATAAATCTATTACAGTTTCATTTCACTGATTTCATTAACGTGAATAAAACCAGCCATGCTTTCTGCATAACTGCCTTTTAATGGCTTGGCCCTGTCACCTGCCTGAATATTAATCCCCCTGACTTATTGCTCCACAGAGGGAATGAGTAATGGGTATTTGAATGTGATCAGCACAGTACAATGCAATTAAGGAAGCAGTACTGTTCTGTGCCTTTAATCCTGAACTAATTTGAATTGCAGTTTGATAGCACAGTGAATCCTGCATAATTATGTAGGGTGCATATTAAACTCTGTGACAAACCAGAGAAGCTTTTAACCATCACAGCTATGGTAGACAAGTGAAGGCTAGAGTCAGAGAGCCCACTATTGGGCTGAGAGCTCAATTAATAGAAAACCAGCAGAGGAGGCTTGGGCATGCAGCATATCGTAACAAAAATACAAAGTATTGACTTGCTTCAAATAGCTTTTACTTTACAAGCATTGGGGCTTTCAGAGCTCTCCTTTGAGTTGGAAGGGGGAAAATTGTCCCTTAACAAAACTTTGTATTCTCTTGGAGCTGTAAGCAGTTAGAAAGCCAGCAGCTGTCCTAATTCACATCTTCTTAGCTTCTTGGCTATTCAGTTGTTTGGTTCTCTACAGTTCTGCAAATGGTGCATTGAGCAGATAGAATTGGTCAGTCAGGAAAAAAATACACATGCACGCACATACGCACACACACAAATACAACTGTTCAGAATGTTCCAGCTTAAAAGATCCTTTTTTTTCCAGAAGTTTGAAAATCATTCCATCAGTAGTCAGGCTTCCTTCAAGTGTATGTATTGTACAATGGTGTGTCATTTACTGCTGCTATATAGATGGGTTTAGTACTCTGTATGAATTTTAGGGATTAAAAAACATTCTATATACTTTGGCTCTTTTGTGAATATATTGAAAATTGATTTGCATGATTGCTTAAGAGTTTCCCTTCCTTTTAAAAAAGTATACTACAGGTT